ATATATATATATATATATATATATATATATATATGCATTTGCTTACACGTCTACAAATTTATTTATATTTAAACTCATATTTTCTACCTAATTTTGATTACATAAAACCTTCAAAAATGGTTAAAAACGGAGAAGAATCACTAGCAATCAGAGTCACCTGGCAAACTCTTCTACGTAATTCGACAGACTGGGAACGAACAAAAAAAAGAGCCATTTTGAGTGAGAGAACACCAACAATACAAATTCACCACAAAAAGTGCAAAACCTGCTATTTTTTTTTAGCAAAAATCGATGTTCGCAAAACTTCAAAAACTAAATAAACTTTATGAACCTCATACTTCATAAAACTTTCCACGGTGTCAGAAGAGCTAATAAAAAATTACAGCGAAGTTTCCGATAATGTAAAGAATAAAAAAACACTGAGATTTTTTTTCAAAATTAATTAACAATTCAGTGGGAAAAATAAAAGCAGGTGGTAACTGCTAAAAAAATTCAAAGCTGAATGTTAAATATGTGAGGAAAGTTAATGTACAGTTTAAAACGGTAAAGAAACACAAGCATTAGATTCGGAGGGAAAAAACGTGCATACTCCGTTAGCAACACCAAATTACTGAGGGAGGAGAAGATGCTTTAACCAACTCACGATTTAAAGAACTCTTAATGTGACCCGAAGCTGAGAGACACGAACCATCATCAGGTCGTTCAGCATCGTACTGTGAAGGTGTCTGGACACGGAATCGACAGATTTCAGCTAAAGTCCAAGCCGACTCCATCAACTTCCCAACCTTAAGAGAGAAAAAGCAAACTGGAAGAAAAGCCGTTTCTAGATCTCAGAAAAAACTGCATTTAACATGAAAAATTAAACAAAACAATACAGAAAATTAAATAAACTTACCATCGGAACTCCAGATTGAAAACTAATTGCAACCGAACCAGCAGAATAAATTGGCTGCGATTTAGTCCTGACTTCGCAGCCCTCTACTATCTCATTAACGTCGAAGGTTACTCTGCGACGTGAACGTGATCGTAATCTTTCCCAAATCTTCCTTCGCTCTTCGAAAGGGTATATCCCACTGAAATGTGCGGCATTAGTAAGCAGTCAAAAATTTGCACGTTCACACGGTAAAGCTAGTAATAATCAAGACGTGTATACCTAATCTGACCTACCAAATTGTATGTTAGCAGTACATAAGCAATAAAACTCACAACCAAAAGAAGTTATTCGTTTGTGTTCTAATTGCAGCATACATGGACGTTACGTATGCAGCGGAATATACTTCCGTTTCCGGAAGTTCTGTCAGTGGTATCATCAGTCGATCGCAAACACGTACGCCACAAGACCCACAATCCAAAAATGATGCAACTCTATTAGCTGATGTAACCACGCAAGCTCTGTAAGGACAACTCACAAGATCGATGAACTTCTCGTGGCTCGGAGCCTGTAAACTTCAGACACTAGAAGTGTAATCCGAAACCTTTAATCAACAAGCAAAACAATTCAAGAAGTAAATTAATCTTTCATAAAGAAAAGTAATGAAAAAAATATAAAAAATAAATCTCATTTAATTTTTTTAAAAAAAATTAAAATTATTCAAGGTGACAAAAAACAACGCGGGAGAAGACTAGCAGAAGCTAACATTAAGCAACAGCCGCCGACTTAAAGGGTGAAGAGCCAGAGATCCACTGTTTTGCCCTTTCCATGTCCAACCATAAAAGAAGCCATTGTCACCAAGGGCCAATAATTCGCTGTGCATAGCGGCTATTTTAATAAATTTAGTCACTCCGACAGGAAAGGGGCACTGGAAAAGCCTTGCTTTTCGTTTTTGATATTAACACTACTGAGGAATAAAAGGATACTACAGCCATACAAAAGGAAACGTTAATCTATTTCTGAACTGAGTGAAAATTAGATAAATACACTACTTTAAGTAAAAATTATTCAGTAAAAATTAATCAGAATTATTCTCTCTCGTGAACTGATTTAGAATCTTTATGACAAACCTGTTCAGAACCCCAGAACTGCAACGATTCATTAAGATTTAACTTTGTGGTGGCCACTTGTGGTGTCTCCTTGCTCTTTTCAATCTTTTTATCTTGAAAATGTTGATAAGAACACTTAACTGAGGAGAAAAGAAATAACTATGAAAACATATTTGTCTGAATAAAGGTAATAAACAGACCTCTATCATTTCTCTTCCTAGAAAGGTCACTTCTAGAGACGATATAGTCAAAACTGTCAGCTCCTGTATATAAGGAGTCATGATCCATCAACGACGCCCCACCATGACCATCTGATCTGGTAATGCCAGCATCCAGAAGAGATAGTATTTCGTCTGGCAAATAAGCTTCAAACCCTTCTTCTCCATCATCACCTACAAAGATATTTAAAATAACAAACCCAAGTAATAGTTTTCAAAAGTCCTAAGACTTTTCTCGTAAATCATGATCCGTCAAAAGTATCCTCAACCTTCCTCATCGTCTCGACTTAATAAATTGTTAACAGCTTCATTAACATTTAAGTTTGTTCTCTGCAGCTCACGGATAATTGACTCTCTTGATTTCCCTTGCAGTACCACCTGAACAAAGACTTATTACTTTGAATAAAAAAGATTAAATGTTTTGAAATAGAGAGAGTTTTTTCAACCTGAGCTTGTGCAATTATATTTTCCGGTATGGCATTGACTGGAATTAGAGGACGCGTTCTACCAACAATTACCCCAGCACGTTCTCCAAGGGTTCCAGGACAACGAGCTGTAGTCATAACTCGACGAATTTTGGAATTCCGACTTAAGGAACTTGTTGTCGATGTCGAGCTACTACCTAAAAGAAACAATTTCTGATTAAAAAAAAGTTTAAATTATAGTAAAGAAAAATACTCAAAATAACAACCTGTTGTACTCGAAGATGGTACACCACCGCCGTGCCCACATCCAAAATCAGACGGTTTATCACTGTTCGTTGAACTTTCCTTTTTTGTTTCTGCAATGATTTGAAACCCAAGACGAGCTACACACCCACTCTAAAAATCGTTTGTAAACAAAAGTGAAACATCAACAGGAAAACAGCTTGTCATGAAACAGTATGTAGAAGCAAACAAAGCGGCATGTGCAACACACCTTGAAAAGGAAGGCAACATGTTCGGGACCTACGACCATTTGCAATACAGCGCTTGCCTCAATACCTTCTAAAGCTTTCGTCAAAATACTTCCATTTTCATTTCGATTTTTTGTGGCTTCTCTAATCCTAAAATTAATAACTGACAAAGTTAAGAGTACAGCCGATAACACCCAACAAATCGCTTTTTAACAGCACCAGGTTCTACTTCATATAAACTTGAATTTCTTTACAAAAACAATTCCATACTTATTCTGTAAAGCTTACCTCTTCGGCAATAAATTGTCGTGACCAGGGTTCGGAAAAGCAAGCAGTAACAGCTGTTTTTGATCATCCATTAAAACTAAGAAAGCATAAAAGCAACTGCACCTGTAAACTTTAAATAGGCGTAACACCTCAAAGCCACTTCTGTCTCACACAAAAGCTACCGCTATGTAACGTGAATTACAAAAACGGCGAAGAAATACATTTAAAGCCCAAGAACGTCGACGACGAAGCGGAAAAAAAAAAACATAAGTTATGCGCAAAAATCTGTAGTACCAAAGTGAAGACCAGTAAAAAATCCTATCACTTTCCTAGTTCTGAACATCATAGCTGATTTCATCTGACTAAAGAGGAAAAAAGAGTAGAACTCAGTGTAGCAGCCATAAAATGTAAGTAGTAGGAAGAACCTAATCATTACTACCAAGAGTGCAAAATCACTTATGGGAAAAGAAACAATAAAAATTTCCTGAAGTGCAAAGTATTTTTGCTAACTGTACCGGCACTATCCGCATCTACAGCCGGTCTAGCATAAGTAGTGCATATGACTCCTCTCCTTGAACGGAACCCGTAAGTGATGGTGATAAGTGCCTATTCCACTGCCGTTCCTTGCCAACTCTGCATACTCATCGTTACGGCAATCATATGTGATTGAAGTAGCCATGACTTTTTTGGTTTACCGGATGCTAAAAGGTAGTTTAAC